ATTAAATGAGGTGGAGAACAAAGATGACAACAAGGACACTGTGACTGAGAAGTCAGAGCGACAGGATCACTGACGCCGCTACATGCCGCTGTCCCCTCCAGAGGGTTCAACAACTTCAGCATCACCTTCGGCAAAAAGTTTGTGAAGTGGCCACCAAACAACGTGTGGCCTGTGCATGAAAAGAGAAGAAAAAAACACTTTTCATGCTGTTTCAGTGAAGGGCGGGGAATGGCAAACCAGAAACAAGAAGTAGTTTGACATTAAAAAGAGGAAGGTCAGTGGGAGAAATTTACTTTAAACTCCAAAGACAAAAAAAAGTTTATTTTTCATCATAGCTAGTGCTGAAAACGTCAAAATGCCACATCATGTCCCAAGCCGTTGGCATATACAAGTGCCACAGCTTGGGACATGAAGTGGTGTCATGACACATTTTCTTACCTATGCAGAGATCCTACATTGCAGAAAAACTAAATGAAAACATACGAGAAGTGACACCAGACAAGGGTTTCCCAACCTAAAGGGCACGACCCCACGTTGGGTTGCATGGAATTCAAATGGGGTCGCCTGAAATTTGTATTTATTGATCAACAAAAAATGTACTGTATGTTAAAATATATTGAACACAGGCTACTGTTGGTCATAGCCAATGCCAATACAAGAAGCTTGCAGAGTCTCTATCATTGTACAGAAATGTCATCCAAGCCTTTTTTCCTCTGTCCATAATAATATACACAAATACATCCTAAATGTAGTCTAAGTAGAGAAACTATTACATGGTTGTAAACAGTATCATTTTGGCAAAAACCTACATTTGGATGTCTGGGGTCCTCAGAGTTTTGTGAAGTCAAAGTGAGGTCATGAGCCGAATGATGCTGGGAACAACCGCTCGAGACACTTTTCACTCGTTTCCTGCCTCTCATAATGGCAAATGATCATCTCATCATCGCACACTTATCTCCAAGGCACCCTAGAAGTGCATCTTGTTTTTTGACTGTGATTGAAAAATGATGAAGTGACTGGGAAATCGTCAGGTCTCAGAGAAAGACAAACTCTATGTTTGAATGGGCCTGGCAAAAAAATGTAATGCAGTGGTGGAGTGTGCACCTTGCTTTTCAAATACATCTGGTTGTCTTTTTTTTTTTAGAGCTTCAGCTGATTTCTTCACATTGAAATAGAACATTACAAAGTCAAATTCAGGTTTTGTTTTTTAACTGTTAATAATTTTCATTAACTTGTGGAAGCTGGTTGTTCAGACGAGCCACAATAACTGCAACGACTGAATGTATGAAGAAAAATATTGATGAAAAATAACATGTATAGTAAACTTTGACCATTGGTACCAACCCCTAAAAAGAAAGTCTGCTGCTCTACTTCAATACATTACTTCTCTAAAATGATCTTTTAAGGTGGTTTATCATGAGCTGTATGACGAGTTAACAAAATGACATTTAACCTAAAAGTGACACCTGTCAGGTCAGATTGCTGCTTGTATCTGGTAATTATTTCATGGTCAAAGCGTAACTCATGACTCCAACATTTATATCAAACTTCAAAGACAACATGTTGAGAAAACTTTCCCTTTGGTTTCATCTGCGGAAAGAACAGACGTTGACGCACAGACAGGGCGATAACAATGACATTTGAGGGAAACTTTAGCGCTCTCCAGACGAGCCTGAGGATAATTGAGAGCGGTGTGGAGGAGAGGACGGGGACGAGAGCAGAGCAGCTTCGGAGCTGTAAATGTGAGAAGTGCAGCAGGAAAAGCACCCGACTCTCCTGCCTTAATAAGCCTGACCCATCAGTAAACAGTTTTGACACTTGGTGACCTCTTGGCATACTCAAACTCCAAGCCCTGCATGACATGGCTTTAATTACCCAGAATCCTTCCCTCTCTGTCTCTCTCTCTCTCTCTCTCTCTCTCTCTCTTTCCTCCTGTTTCTCTGGCACTCTGTGGTTACGAGCTGAGGAGACTTGGGAGAAGCCAGAGGAGTTCAACCCACCACATGCCATCACAATGCTTTCCCATGCTTTAAAATCATAACTGATGTTAGGGGTGATTCTCTGTCACTCAATCACAACCGGGAAGCTGAGTTGAGAGAAAGTATAAAAGACAGATGGGTAGTGGCTCAGCAGGTGAACTACAGCTACTGTATGTCTGGATCCTCTGGAGGATGTGACTTATGACTGTTGATCAATAAAAGGACCTGAAGACTGAAGGCTGCAGGATGATGGAAATGAACTTCTTCAGGGTGCCAGATAGCCTAGCTGTTGCGTCACATACCAATGTATAGAAGCATATAGTCCTCATCTTCGCAGCCGTGGGCTAGAATCCGACCTCGGCCCTTCGCTGCATGTCATCCTCCACTCTATCCTCCAAACATTTCCTGTAGTTATTGCTATCTCACCACACAAGTCAAACTCATATACAAGTATCCTTGAAAAGACCGGGTATCCATGTAAACATCACCTCCGCAATGGGAAAAACAGGATGGGACTGAGAACTGGAATACCAAGAGCTCAAGAAAGGTAAGACATAATGAATCATAATGCTTTTAAGTTCATATCCTCCATGTTTTCTAATCTCCAAACACCTGGACAATGACTGCCTGCTTGTTGTGTTGCCTTGAACAGAAAGGTCCAAAGATTTGTCATATGCAGCTCCCGCTTCAGTCAAACATCAAAAGGGGATGCAGTGGAGGGGATAGCAGACACTGTTTGATGGTGCCATGAGCATTTTGTACAAAAGCACTCTGACAGATTGAGACTGCTCCTTCTTTTTAAAACTGCCAGACTCCGGCTGCACATGGACCGAAAAAAATAACGGTGCGTTCAGGCGTTGTTTATCAAAAATCAAAGCTACAGCAAGGCCAGTTAAATCAAGGATAACCTCATAATGAAAACAAATCACTTTGCAAGTTATGGCCTTGTTCAAGGGTAAAGCCGTCAGTTGTAGAGCCGTTACTTTTAAGTCAATCCTTTGTGAGTTCACAACCTCCAATGTTTTCATCGAACAAAGACTTTAAATATGAGTGAAAACTAAAAAAAAAAAGGAGGATGATCTTTTAGTTCGAAGATTACAGTCTAATCTACCTGTTTAAAACCTCCAATAGACCAGTTACTGGTGCACACTGGGATACTGAGTCCTGAAATTTGGGGTATTTTATATTCATTTTGAGAAGGTCAGACACATCGATGTAAATGCACTTTGATGAATCATTTCCTTTAGAGCAACAAAACGTCACTTTTCAGTCGTTTCAATGGTTAATTTCATAGCACAATAACTTTCAACAACCATGTCCACTGCAAGGCAGGGTCGCCTGTTTACTGCAGTATTTAACTTGGCTGTGGGCTGTCATGTGCGTACAACTTTACGGCACTAGTTCTCACACTCGAGCCTTCAGTTGTAAAAAGCTAGTTAGCCCGTCTCTGTACGGTTTGATACAATGGCTAAGAGGAAGAGGATGGTGATGGATGGAGATTATCAGAGAGATATTATTCATAACGGATTGAGATGTTTAGCAGCTTTAACAGGTAAAGAAAGTCATCTAACCTAAGTTATGTTTCAGGCTTATACAGATAAATAAATAAATCCATCTTACGCAAAAAAATTGTCTCTTTCCTCGCCGATCTTTAAGTTAGCTTGGAACCTTACAAACCTATCTAAACTAGCATGTAATAAATGATCCTCTCCAATGTAGTCATTTATGCACATTCCATAAATATCACTGCAACTGTTGAATAAACAAACACAGACTCCATATTCCAACAGTTTGCAAAAAACATGCTGAACACGCGTTAAGGGCCACATTTGCGCAAATTCCCTTAATATTACTGAACCTTGTAAATCAACCTGGCTGTTTTGCTTCTTGAATGGTCTTCGACCTGTCTGCTTGTAAACAAGTGCACGTTGTCTGAGACGGGGAGGCATAACAGCACTATGTGTCACACGACAGCGCAGTTGCACTCAGAGACCTTTGGTGGGCGCCAAAGTGCACCAAACCCAATTCCTTCATATTGTTGCTTTAAGTGAGAAAAAATGACGGCTGTGGGATTACATGATGGATGCATAGAAACTGTCGATGTCAAGTATTTGTCAAAAATGGTGCGCCTTTGTTTTTTTTTGCATTATCAGCATAAATGCATAATCTATAAGAAAAAATATATAGTTGTTTAAATAATCATTGACTTCTTTACCACAAGAACTGTGTTTTACTGCTTTTTGTACCAGAGGAGAATGTAGAACACAGCTCTTTGGAAACAAAAAATCCTGTCAATGATTAAACATCGGATTGTCAACACGGATCATGAAGTGACTTTGATCAAAGACAGAGTGGAACATCTCAAAGGCTTGGATGAGGTTTTTGTCACAGTAGAAAGTGAAAAAAAACAAAAAAAAACTGGTTGAAATCACATGAAAAAGTCTCTCTCTTGGGAGAAGTTCGGATTTGAGTTGGAAAATGAATCATCAGACTCAAAGATACCTTTTTCTGTTCTTTCCCTACTAGTTATTTTTACATCAAACCACCTCCTGTTCCTGTAATGTCAGCTTGAATCCTGATGTTGTGTCATAGAAATGCAGGGTGCATTACTCTTTTATTGTGAAATAATAAATGTTTGATACATCCTTCCTCTTCTAAATGAAAAACAAACACTTGTCTCTGGTTTTTCGGGGACTGGAGAATTATCGCTTGGAAGCTTTTCCTCATGACATGTAGTGAAATGGAAACAAGACAAAGACACAACCACAACACAGTGATCGTAGTGACCATGGCCTCAGCCTCCACCTGAGCCACACACACACACACACACAGAAACAGACACACACACACATTCATTCACTTTCTGTGGAAAGGTTTACAGCATAAAAGCACAGCCTCATCATCTCAGTCTGTCGAGTGTGTGTTCGTCTTTTTCTGTGCACACTCTGGCATGCACATTTTGTGTGCGTGAGTCTGTTTTCAGTAATCCAATGGGGAGTCATCAGACGTGGGGAGGAGGAGGGGGGGGGGGGGTGGGGGGTGCATGGCAGTCCCGCAGTGATAGGAGGAAGAGGAGGAGGAGGGGAGCTTTAGTTGTTCTGAAGGCAGTCGAGATCCACTGAACAGCAAACGTTTCCGTTCTGCACAGCACAGCAAGAACAGACAGGGGAGAAGAGATGGAGAGTATTAAAAGTAGTGTATTAACAAAAACTGTGCATGCTGCATTGTAATGACACACTTCAGAGTCTGGCTGGCTGTACTCAAAATATAAAGACTTACTTACTGAGGGATTTGGCCGTATCAACATGACATATATAATACCTCTTATATACATTTTACAAGAGCACATGCTGTTCTTTTGCTCCTCACGATACTGGCCCTGTAGTGATTCACTTTCAGGATTATCTTCTATGGTTGTGAAACATCCGTCTCTAAGATTGATGCTGCCAATCCTGTACATTTGAGGGAATCATAATTTAGGAAGTGTGGCACCAAGCAGTGACAAATTTGAGAAATTCAGCCGCAATTTGTCTTTCCACCGACAAGGTCTCAGTTATTCTGGATAATAAATAGACCTCAATGGTCTAACGTATGGTTGGTTATATGTAGGTGAGAGATTTTACTCTCACTCTCTCTCTCTGAGGTGGCTCTGGTGTAGAAGGCAGAGCGACCCAATCACTAATCAGACAATCAGCAGTTGGATCCTCTGGTTTCTCCTGTACACATCTAGCACAGCACGCTCTGACATCAGTGTGTGAATGTGTGGCCTGAATTTTGAAATTTAATGTTAAGCACTTAAAGAGGTCAAAAGACAAGACAGGGGCCAGTAAGTGCAGTATGCAAAACATTTACTTAATGTTCCAATCGAAATAGTGTCAGAGGCCAAACTCTCCCAGCGCATAGATCAATACCTAAAGATACATGAATGTGTGTATCTTGACTAGGCTGACCCCTAAAGTCATGTAGACCAGAGTAAAGCAGTCTGTGTTTATCTGATTATAGGGAAGCTTAAACTTTGGTTTAAAAACAAGCTGCCCTGCTGCTCAGAGGCAAACTTTATTTTTCTTACAGTGATGCAGATACAGATAGCCTTTAAATACAGTGGCTGGGAAGTGCAAACCAAAATCATAAAGTGCGAAACACTTTTGCAAAGCTAGAGACAAATTTGCATTTTTGAAAACATTGCAACATTTTATAAAACAGAATTACAAAAGCAAAAATAATTTTACCATGGACAGAACAAATGTACATCCAAGAAAACAGATTCACAAGATGAGAACGGTGAGACAAATAAACAATCCACAGAATCTTCCTGGAAAGGGAATGTACAAAATGCAGTAAGTGACCTGGAAGTGACTGAGTGAGCGGTCAAGTAGTTTGTTTTTGCCGTAAAGACTGTGCAAAATGTGTTATGCAGGGATCATGGTGATTTAATGATGTTTTGTCCGTTTTGTGGAACCATCCTGAGAGAGTTAACGAGGAGTCTTTCCGTCAAAAAAAACTAACTGACCGCTCACTTCCTGCATTTGGTACGTTCCCTTTCCAGAGAGTTCTGTGGTTTGTATATTTGTTTGAGGAAAAGTGTTTCTCATCTTGTAATCTTGTTTTCTAAAACGCACATTTCTTTTGTCCTCGGTAAAGGTATTTAAGCTTTTGTAATTTTGTTTTAAAAAATGAAAATTTGTCTCAAGCCTTGAAAAAGTGTTCCACACTTTGTAATTTTGGTTTGTAGGTAATGACAACCAGTGCCTGTAACATTATGATCACAAGGGGAAATCAAAGAAACCTGATGTGCATGTTAAACTGCTAATTCCTTTAATTCAGTAATTGCAAAAATAAATGTTTTTTTGGTTTAGTAAAAGGTGAGGATACACTCCACGATAACACAAGGTAAATAATCATTAACTGTTATTAGGATTCAAGCAAATTAAGTACAAGTTCCTTGTTTGAATTAGCAAAACTGAAACCTTAATCGTGTTCCTTTGTTTGTTGATGCTGTTTAGCCTACCTTGCACTTGCAGGTGGTGCAGGGTGAGTTGGGCATATGCCATGTGTCCCCGCTGAGGCGGATGACACCCGCGGGGTCCTGGCACGTCTGCCGAATGTCATACAACAGGTTGTCGGCCAGGCAGGGGTCTGTGACGCAGCGCGGGCAGCACTCGCCCTCCGCCACCGCCGTGTACTCGCACATCAACACGGGGCAAACCAGAGGCCAGCAGTCCACCTCCCCCTCCTGCAGAGACACACAGAGAGCTAAGAATACAGGAAAAGCAAAATGTTGCCGTGTGTGCAAATCAGCAGATATGGTGACTGCAGTAACAGCTCACATGCCACATCTGTAATTAAAGAGGTGGTAATTATCTGGGTCGTCCAAACACACACACACAAACACACACACACACACACACACACACACAGCCGAGCAGCATGATCAGAGCCTGGCAGTACACAAAGCCCAGCTGTCTGCTTCATGTTGGTGAGGAGGTTTTCTGTCATCAGTTTCTTTCTAACAAACTTGTATCTGCACACTGAGGGATTCCTCCTCATATAGTTCTGTTGGCAAGCAACGTGTAGCGCGTGTGTGCATATTTTGTGTGTTTCTGTGTACAGACCATGCAACGGCACTGCTGGCAGCCGTAGAGCCAGGACGCTCCGCTGCGGTAGAGTGTGTCCGCTCTGGTCCAGACACTGGCTGTTGGGCCTGTTGTCACAGCCGGGACAGCAGAACAGATCCTCGTCTGGGTCTCCGCAGTCACAGGGTCTCCTCCTGCAGTACGTCTGAGCATCCTGCAAAAAGAAAGAAAGGACACAGAGGTCAGGTAGAAAACAGACATATGACATGGTGGTTTCCCTGTCCAAAAAGGTAAAGAAAAAAGGCCACATGGGACTCCATGATTGTGTTAAATAACACCTGAACCTGTTTTTTTTTGTGCAGCGTCTGAGGAAGAGGCAGGTCGGTCTCAAAACATTCTGTTCCTTAAATGCACTTAGCACATAAATAAGTAGAGATTTGGGAGCAAAAGTGTTGCGAGTCTTTGTTTGTATCACATTCCCAAAATATAATGTCATTTCTTCACCTTTTTTTTTCTTCTTGTTTAGACATATAACTTCATATCTGCTGTGTGGATGTGTAGAGTGTTTGCATGCATTGCATCCATTTCTATATCATGTCTCAAGATATTTAAGGGCAGATAGCTCCTTTTATACAATTGTGTTTTACTGTTTCTTTCTTTCTTTTCTTCCAATATACTCAAATTTATTGATCATTTTTTAGACGTTTATGACCCTGAACAGTGTAGACGGTTAACCACAACTACCATCAAAAAGCTTGTCAACCCTTTCAGGGTGCAACATGTATAACAATGCATGTGTTTTCCTTTTTCTCGAATGTTAAGCCTGCATGTTGTGGCATGGAATAAGTGTGCAGGCTTGCCTCGTTTGATCCGTGCTCTTGTTCCTACATGATGTGTATAGAAACCCCCCCTCCATCACCATGGTGCTTTAACACATAGTGCTTTAACGCAAAGACTTCACCTTCACATAGCACTTCATATGGTGGGCTGCGAAGAAATGTTTCTTTATATCGCTGAGTAGGTGACTCACTCTGCGTTCAACAGCTGCAGAAACTGCAAGCTTTCGTCTGTTTGGTTAAAGTGAAGAGTTTCCTGATGCTCTGAATGACGCTCCGCAGCCTTTTCATAAAGAGTAAAACCCTTGAAAGAAAAAAAAATTCCTGAGATGTGTTTTAATGCAAAGCAAGTTACACATTTGCAAAGATACTGAAATTCACTATAAACGTTAAAAAAAAAAGAGAGAACAGCGTATTCAGACTTTAAAATCAAGGTGTGTATCTGACGCCTTTCTTACACGCCTTAGGGGAGAGCTGGTTAACATCTCTGCACACTGGCTTATCAAAGCAGATAATTCGAGGCCAACATGCCAATGAGGTATTTTACTAGGTTGTATCACCTTCTCCAATCTCCATTTTCTCTAACAGCAATTTATTAGAGCCATGAACGAAGAAGGAATATGTAAGAAGTTTGGTGCCTGCGTTGGAATGCAAAGTCAAAAAACCTCTGGATCTGTGTGACTGTACTCAGCCGCTGTGTCCCCGACTCACCGTCTCTACTCAGACTAAAACTTTATGGTCCATTTTACTCACCACAGCCAGCACAGTCTGGCCCGGAAACGGGGCAGGGTAATGATGATGTAAAAATGTTACATAAAATGGCTGTTGGAAAATGTATGGGGGGCATAAAATCATTGCGAATAGCATTAAAAGGGCAATACAGAGCCAATGTTTTATCGATGCGTATTGTCCTGCTACAGTAACCCCGCTCGGTCCCTGGGTACCGATAGCGACGACGCTGGTCTTTAAGGTTACGGCCTCGGACTTGCTGTGAAATTACTGCCAATTGTGGTGTGCTGGCAGGAGGCATGAAGGCAGACTGTTCATTTTAATGCCAGGAAAAACACAGCGCATGCTAATGCTGTGCTAAAAGAAACATTGTACTGCTTTCAATGAAAACTCTATTGACAAAAACGTAATGATGGATTTGATGCATGCGGATGACTTTCTCTTTAATCAATACTTTTTTTTCTTCACAGTCCTGGTATAAGATATGTCTTTGAAGGTAATTAAGATTTAAGAACTTTTGACCTTGTTTAGTCACTGTATGAACTCAATCTTTGCTGGTGAGTTTCCACCATTGATTTCATGTGCTAGCAAGTACAACAAACTCTCTTAAATCAGCCTTAGGTCGCTTTCTCATCAAGTTCAGTGGCCACGGAGCGATTCAGGGGTGAAGTTCTAACCTTGTTGCATTTTTCATTTGGTTCAATGTGCTTTGGTGTGAAGTGCACCAACGCTTGTCAAATGTGGTGTATCATAGCCACTAGTTGGGGCTGTAGCTCCAGTCAGTGGATACTGCCATCCGGCCTAACACTGCACTATGACCTCCCTCGCCCAAAAAAAACAGTACCGTGTAAGAATGGCATCCCATAGCCTGGTTCAGATTGTCAGTATTTTGATCTATGAAATGGCGATGAAGTAATATGTAAGCTGTGTCAGGTTAAACGAAAACTGACAAAGAATCTCCATTGTGTTTCTTTTCTGTAGTGAGCTATTTTTTTCTTGTCTTTTTTTGTTGTTACCAGGAAGGCTCTCATCTCTGTATAATTTTGTGACTATACACCATTTACTGTAAACGCTGCTGTTTAATGGTGACAGATGTGAAGGAAACTTTTTTTCTTTGTCATCAACTTGTAGCTTTTTTGTTTATGTCACTTCTCTTAAAGTCTCTGAAACATAAAAAAGGACGGCTTCAGATTGAATCCTGCTAATAAACTTTAAGATAAGGTATCTCTCTGCATAAAGTGGTTTAAAAGTTCATCTACAAATCTTTTCATCTGAGCCACAATCGTACTCAATGGGATTATAAAACACACAAAATATCAACGGAGCAACTTTGAACTACACTGAAAATGCGTCAGATACATTCTTGTGAAATATATTGGTTGTACAATAGGGAGGTTTTATGAGACATCACTGGAACCACAACCTGAATGACATCCTCTTACCTGACATTTGATTTCAAATAACAATCTGTGTTTAGTCCGTATCAATCTCACTCACTAAGCCTCACCTTCCCAAAGACAAAACTGATCAATATCTAATTTTCCTGCAGTCACAGCACCGCCTCCCGAGAACAGAAATAAGTTTGTTAGATTGCCACAGATATTCGTCAGAATGGAACGCCAATTGACAAGAGACTGGTCACTGTGGAGCACTTTTCTTTGAGTTGACCCTGGGCGATGCTTCATTGGGTCAGATGAGGTCTTAAACGCTGTTTGTTTTTGTGTTTGTTTCATGATGACTATCCAAACTTTTTACATCCCTGTCGGAGCGAATATGACATCTGGCCATTTTACACAATTTTGCACTCCAGAAGCAAAATCAGGCAAACCGCCCCTGAAGTCTTCCCCAGTTGCTTGTTCACACACTGCCACAACTAAAACCATAGCAAGTGTATTTGTCTAATTTCTAGCCAGAAAACTCTCATTACACTTAATATAAGTCACATTCACCTGACAAGTCCACATAAACATTTTATGTCATGAAATACAAATTGAAGAATTCAACTTAAATTGCTTTAATGAGGGAAAATTGCTGCAAGAGCTGCAAGTAAAATCAACTTGTTAAGTTTCTTGAATTAAGATAAAGAGCTAATTTTAAATAAACCTAACAAGTACATTTTTGCTTGCTGCACTGTCATCAATTTTCACTCACTAAGGCAATTTAGGCCTTACATGAAACTTAATATTTCTTGAAATATGAGATGTTTATCTGGACTTGTAGTAGTCTTTATCTTCACCATGACTACACAGTTACAGCTTTGTTAAAGGGAGCAACAGAAAAACAGAAAACTGGTTTAGATCCTATACTGTTGCTAAGAAGAAACTCCACAGGAGTAAAGATGAAGCTAAGTGAGATGGTATTTATCTTCTGTACCTTGCAGGAGCAGATAGCACAGCGGTCAAAGCCTGGTTTCCAGTCCTCCCCGTTGCGTCTGATTCCCTCCTCCTGTGGACAGTCGCCGCTGCAGCCTGGGCCAGACGTGCACACACAGTCGTAGCCTCCAGGGAGGTTCACACACACACTGTCGTTCCAGCAGGTGTGTGTCTGCTGACTGCACTCATCGATGTCTGGAAGACAAGAAGTGGATCAGTGTAAGTTCCGTTGTACACATTTAGGACAAATGCAGAGGGTACGGATTTGCAAACTGATTTTTATTTTTTCTTAACTGAGCCAACCGGGGAAAAGTCCTGTTTGAAAAAGTTTTACTTGTGACTCTGTTATCACAACAGTCAGCCTCGTGAAGGCTTTTATCAAGACGCAGCAAAAACCAAGAGAGAGCAGAATCACATCAGCAGCAAGCAGCTGCACAAAATGAAACAAAAACAGGCCAGCATTTGAAGTGTTGCGTAGCAGACATTGCTTTGCTACAAATGCATTTAAAGGAGATAACAGCAATATATGTTTCTCTTCTCTCCTCTCTCTTCTCTCTGGTTACCTGCAGAGTATACGAGGTGAACAGAGCGAGGGAGATCGATCAACTGCAATTCATTGGTCTTAAATGTCAATCTTATGGCAGAAAACACACCTGGGGGGCCGTTAATATACCGTCCACCAATGGAAACAAATACCCACTACATGGTTTCCCAAAGGCACACCCTGTTAAGCCTATACGCCCCTCCAGGAGCTGCATGGCACACTTTAGAATTACTGAATTATTTATAAACGTAAGTCTGCAATGTGTTATTGTCATAGTGTCTTTTTGCCTACCATGTCAACAATTCCAGTATCTTTTGGAAACACACACTGTCGTTCCAGCAGGTGTGTGTCTGCTGACTGCACTCATCGATGTCTGGAAGACAAGAAGTGGATCAGTGTAAGTTCCGTTGTACACATTTAGGACAAATGCAGAGGGTACGGATTTGCAAACTGATTTTATATTTTTTCTTAACTGAGCCAACCGGGGAAAAGTCCTGTTTGAAAAAGTTTTACTTGTGACTCTGTTATCACAACAGGTCAGCCTTGTGAAGGCTTGTTATCAAGACGCAGCAAAAACCAAGAGAGAGCAGAATCACATCAGCAGCAAGCAGCTGCACAAAATGAAACAAAAACAGGCCAGCATTTGAAGTGTTGCGTAGCAGACATTGCTTTGCCACAAATGCATTTAAAGGGAGATAACAGCAGATATATGTTTCTCTTTCTCGCTCTCTCTCTCTCTCTCTGGTTACCTGCAGAGTATACGAGGTGAACAGAGCGAGGGAGATCGATCAACTGCAATTCATTGGTCTTAAATGTCAATCTTATGGGCAGAAAACACACCTGGGGGTCCGTTAATATACCTGGGTGGTCCACCAAGGTGGGAAACAAATACCCACTACATGGTTTCCCCAAAGGCCACACCCTGTTAAGCCTATACGCCCCCCAGGAGGCTGCATGGCACACTTTGAGAATTACTGAATTATTTTATAAATGTAAGTCTGCAATGTGTTCTTGTCATAGTGTCTTTTTTTGCCTACCATGTCAACAATTCCAGTATCTTTTGGAAACACAAATGTATGTGTCTGTTTAAATATTGTAGTCAGAACATAAAAGGACAATTGGCTAGTTATTGATGCTTTACAGTTTTTTTAAGCTGTGATCTGCATTATTTTCTGCTCTAGGAATTAATTAAAATTATGCGATGATTGTTATTGTAAAAAATGGGCTAGATTTAAAACTTTACAGGCCGCAAACCCAAGACAAGAAAACACATTTAAAAACCCAAAGTAAGAGTAATTCTGTTTAAAAAAAACAAAAAAAACATATTGCTCATTGACATTCTTCATTTGTGTTTGTGGAAATGGATAAAGAAAATGTATAACAATACAAGAGACAGGGAAATGTTTGCCAACTGTGCTGCAGGTTGGATGCACCTTTACAAATCGCAATTACATTTTCTATTTACTCACATTGCCCTGGGCTGTTATATGAAGCATTTATATTACATTGTGCAGGAATAAGTGTTGCAGCCCTCAAGTTATCAAGTGTCATCCTTCTATCCAATCATTAGCATAAGGATGGGATTGCTTTTGTGGTCATTCAGGGAGGAGAATCCGGCTGTTGGTGGTGCAGTTTAGAGGTTTATTTCAATTAAGTAATTCCCACTAACTGTGAATGTAGCTGCATTTACTGTACATGCTTAGTAACACATGCTGCTGTATGCAGTGCAGAATAAGCAGAAAATATATGAGGATTCATTTTATATTTCAGGCTTTGGCTATCACTCGTAGCAATGTGCTTTTAAAAATGACTGAAAGAAAACTTTTTGCATTATAATTCGAAGGAAATTGGGTCATAATGTATCGCCTTACCCGTCTATACAAAGCGTATACCATTCACACATACTGGCCTCAAAGCTTCAGTCACATCAATCACCACCTATAGAGATATTTTCTCTTCACGGGTTCAGTGTAGCCATCAAAGGAAGAAGACATCTGCTCAGTCAGCTTCTTCCTCGCTCTTCCTCTCTCCACACACCAAAAGGACCGTCAAGAACAGAGCGGACAGACGGCATTTTCATCTACTTTTTCTTTATTGGCGGGGCCACAGGAAACACGGTGCCAAAGAAAGTCTGTCCCAACCCTTTTATCAAGCCATGACATTTAACTCTCTTTATCCTCTCTAAATGTGAGCTGTTCACAGAGAAAAAAAAGACCAAAGTCCCTTCAACAGCCGCTCCGCTCTCCCCCTGCTAGCACCTGCTGCCTACAGACATCGATCACACCCACACTGCCAGCACAGCGCTGAGTGTTGCATGAACAAAAGAACTGAAGAGGGAAAAAAACTGAGACTAAATATTAACAATCACATTCAAGTTTGTCTTTATGTGTTTAACTCAATACACACTCTCATACTGTGAGAAATGTGTTCAACATACACATTTTTTCTCTCTGCGCTGGTGAGTGACATGGGACACTGTCAGACGTGTCCAAGATGCTGCAAGACTCCAGCTCCAGCTCTTTGCCAGTCACTTGGCTGATCGAAAGTTAGTTTTAAACATCGACAGGCTTCAAAAGGCCGCTTCACAAGCTTCTGAGTGATGTCACTGAAACTTTGTCCATGTATATACAGTCAATGAGCTATGACGCTTTAATCATTGCATAGCTTGGAGCAGTACACTGATGAAATACTATCCTGAAAACAATTAGAGTGGACAACGGCAGCTCAGTTTTTGATCTCTCCTGATGTCCTGCGTCTACTACGACGGTCAGAGAAAGAACTAGCTCTTTTATCTGATTTAACAGACTTTAATTGTTTTAACTTTATTATTAAAAAAACTTAAAAAGGTGATGTTAAACTGCAAAGCTGTCACTAAACTCTTCCTAAGCACCAAGCTCTTGTTGATTAGTGTAACAAACACAAATGTGTTTTTTCTCCTATACAACTCGCATACTAGTGACAAACATGATATGAATAATACATGTATAGGCTACAGTGTTGGACATTAAGATACAGGTTTATTTCATGGGTGCTAATCAATTATGGTAACAGAGTGCTAAATTGACTCGCAAACTTGCCAACAATATTAGGTTAGCTTGTATCAGAGACACATCAAGCCATGTATCAGTATTGATACTTCTTAATCCTGAGAAAAAAATGCAGCCCCCATTAAAATCTACCCTGCACAGCAGCTTGTGTGCCTTCATAAACTTACTTTGTTTCATCCATTTCTGAAAAATATACCCATGCTCTTGTCCAAAGTCCTTTTCTGTTTCTTATCAGGCTGTATTACAGCCGTCCATGATCTCCTTTTCTAACCAAGACATTTTAAGAGGGGATGTTTTGGGATATATGCCGTGTTAAAGATAACAACCATGCAGGGTTAGTAGTGTGCAGATGTTCAAAGAAATTCTATATTTTTTCCATGAAGCAAAATTATGACTGGAAGCTGGCGTGCTCGCTGTGTGTCAGGTAATGTTGGGTTATAGAAGTTGTGCTGTAGTAGGAACGAATTATAGAAAAAAAAAACAACAGTGGAGCAGCTTACCTCCGTTTGGTAGTGGAGTGGTCTCTGAAGTGATTGTAATGCCATTAGGCATTACAATGCCTAATGGCATTCGTAAGAGCGTTAGAGAACTGCACATGTGTGCTGGGATAGAAATAGTTAAGAGCTTCCTTGTTGTGTCGACGGCCCAACATGTGACACATTGATTTAGCATGTTAAGTGGTAAATGGACTTGAGCTTGTATAGCACTTTTCTAGTCGTCAGACCACTCAAAGCACTTTTACATTGCAGGTCACACCTACACATTCACACACTGATGGTTACTATGTAAAGTGACCATCAGAAGTAACTTATCCCGTTCATACACAGTCATACGTCGCCGACGAAGCAATGGGAGCAACTTGGGGTTAAGTGTCTTGCCCAAGGACACATCAGACATGCTGCTGCAGGAGATGGGAATCGAACCCTCGAACATCCGGTTGAGAGACGACGACTCTGCCAACTGAGCCACAGAATGAACTGTACACGGTAAAATAAGTGAAAAAATGGTAGACTGCAGTGGACTTTACCCAGAATCCTAGTTGCTAATAAGTACTCACAGGCTAGTAATGTCAACTTGATAATGATGTGAACAGAATTAAAAAAGCAGAAAAAAAAACAGGATTTGTACCCCCTGACTATTGCTGCAGATGTTAGGAGCCTCTGGCAGCGGATTCTCTACATCTTGCAGGAAGACCTACTCTGGACAGATAAGACCCTATATGACCACACCAGCCTTATAAATAAACTGTGACAGATGTGAAAAACACTCTAATTGGTTACACTATCAGTTTGGCTGGATACAGAAGGAGAGAGAAAACAGCTCAGCTGAGAATTTATTGTGTCTGTGGCAGACTATTTGCATACACGAAATGAAATCCCTGTCAGCCAGTCAGACATACTGTACCTCTGCTGGTGAAGGATTAATGCTCTTCATGCTACATTCACCACATTCAGCCACAAGCTGCTGCCTGCAAGATGAAGCGCACTCTTACATGCAGGCTGTGAAAGAAAGCGTCACATCCAAACACAAAAGCCCTGCGGAGAAACGGAGGAAGTTACACTCACACCTACATGTGCTGTTGTTATACATGAAACACTAATTTC